TTAATTCGTCTTGCTACCTGTTATGATAAACAAAGTCCGCCGCAGGATGAATAATATGACGTTTATGAGAAAAAAAATTGAAGTGGTTTTTTTTTTTTCAAGCATGAACAACATGCTCTATATTAATAAAATGATTTAATTTTTTACGTGCATTTTTTATTTGTCAAAAGAGACATTTGTTGACTTTCTTTCAATTCGTGCGATTACTCAATTTTTAAAGTTACAGATACGCATAAGAATAACAATCGATGTAGGAAGTAAGTGAAGAATATTGCGATCCAGACGCTTTCAGATTAGTTTTCTATCCGAGCAAAAATCGTAGAAGAACGATTCGTCGATTAACACAATAAGTTTTTCGCGAAACGCATGTTGTAAAATTGATGGATTACTAACGATAAATAATTATATAATTGTGAGAAATTGAAGCGTTGCTCTCTTCCTCTAAGGACTGTTTTTTCGCGCTTTCTCGTCAAAGCTTTAATATCGATTTAAAGTGACATTGCCCGTCATTCTTAATTATTTTCATTGAATCGACGATTGTTCAGTTGAAAGCAATGAGCCTCGAGCCGCGTCGAGGATGGTTATTCTTGATCTGGAAAACGAGGAAAGCCTTTCGTCGTCGATGACGAACGCGTGATGGCGTATTGTCGTTTAAAAAGATGGGTGGATAACAGCCTGTCAGAATTAATTAATTCCACCGGCGTTTCTGCATTTCCTGGGTTTTTTTCAGCGCCGTCAGCTCTCAGCGACTCCGACGATCGCATCCGCGACAAGTTCTCGCCGATGTTGGCTATGCTCGAGCTCTTCCTTGTGAAAATCGCGACGAACCGCGAAAAAGCGTGTCCGCCCGAGCGAGGCGATCGCGATAATTTCGTCGGGGTGGTCGACGACAGCCAGAGAGGACTCTCCCCCGAGATGATTTCAAAAAGAGGGGCAAAGGCAGGTCGTAGATAAAGAAAACTAGAAGTAGAAAATAAAAGAACGGAGATAGACGGGGAAAGGGCTGACTAGGAAGGTTGGGCAGGAGCGGTGCCGCAGGGGGAAGAGACCGGAATGAAATTTGCATCGCAAAATCCTACCGTTTACCTCGTCCTATGCCCCTCTGCTCCTTTCTCCCCGTATCTCCCGGTTCCCTCTTTCACTCGGTGAAGGAGGAGCGGCGTGCTATCTGTATATATACGGGGTAATGACGGTGCTCGGTATTCCGTGAAGAAAAGGAGGAACGTCCATTGGACAAACGGGACTCGCTTCTGCATCGTGGATCCTGTTTTGTGTCTCGTAGGCTTGTTTGTTTTGCACGAGCTATCGAATACACACAAAAGGCGCTCCCTCCTACTTGGTCCACTTCGCAGATCCCAACTCTCGCAATCTCTCGCTTGTTCCTTCCTTCAGTCACTGTGGTTCGCCGGTTACAAGAAAAGGAATCAAAGCAGCGACCTATCAAGGAGAGATGTTTAAAGTTTTTAACTGCTTCACGCGCGCCAAAAGTTAAACTCACGCGCTCGTGTTACGTAAACAAGTGATTAAATTATTAATTTATTCGAACAGCTATCTGATACTTATCTGTTATCACACCTGTTAGTATACACTTTACGCAAATCGTGTTCTGCTAAAATACGCGCATATGCTGAAAATGTTTATAATAATATGTATATTATTTACTTTGTCGTAACATAATGGTTTATTAAAATTTTGAAAACAGATAGATAAAATGGAAAAACTTTAATATTTACACAATTTATTCGATGTTTACATAATTTACATGAGATAAAAGCTGCTTTTATGGCTTGTGCTTCAATGTATTATTTGTAATTTAAAGTAGCTGACACAAATATAATAAAGATATTTAAAATTAAAATAAAAAGGATATATATATTTTTGAAAAAAAAAAGACAACGATTTTTACATTAGGTTACACACAAGGAGACACTAAAAATGTAAATATTATCGACGCGCAATGTCGCTATATAGGTCACGTCGTGTATATTACCAGGTATAAACAGAAACGAAACTTTACTACTTCGTATATGTGTACTTCCCCCGCCGTGAATAAATCTCAGTCTCATCATAACATTCGCGGAGAAATGTTGCGCGCAACAATGTTGGGAATTTTCCATTTTATTTAGATACATCATAAACATGATCAGCTCTGAATGCGCCATAGAGTCGCCTGCAAATTTCTCTCTAATTCTCTTCCTTTAGGTAAGTTTTATCAAATTTATACGCAATCTCGGGAGCGCAAGAACAATGTTATTGCTATGTCGACATAATGCAATCCTTTCTCATCGTTCATTAATGATAAATAATTAGTGAGACAGTGTCTGTTCGATAGATGGTCAGCAAAAGTTCAGTGACAGTGCTCTTTATTTTGAAAAAAGGAAAAACATTGTACGCGAGAGACATTATGATGCTCCCTGTCGAGAGAGGCTATTCATTTTTAGACATTGGATAACCCCGCGGTTTAAAACACGTTTCCATTATCTTGCTTGTTATTTGTGTAACCTCAGTCCGAGCTTTATCCGTTTCGTGTAATACGTGTGCTCGCTGAGTTTTGCTTGGTTTCGCTGAAAGGTACAATGTACCCGATAGCTTTCCATTCTCGAGCTCCATCGAGTATTCAAAGCAACCTATCTGGAGTTCCATTATAGGTTTTGGTGCATACGTATTGCCGTATCTTACAACTTCAATACCGAGCGCAACACTTGTTTCTGACGGCTTTAGGGCCTCGTTCGTATTCCGCCCCTATATCTTAGACGCGGCATGAAAGGCATACAGAGTCCTTATGAAAGGAACGTGTCGGTATATTGGTTACGATTCGATATCGTAACAGATATTTTTCCAAGGTAGTAGCTTAATAGCAGTACAATGTACTTATGCTAATTTATTGTTTCGATGTTAGAGAAATATTCTATTATATGTAGTTGTGACTTTGTAAAATATCTAATCAGAATATGCATATATCGAATATACTATAATATATATCTAATCATGATAGTATAAGACTTTATCTTTAAATATAATAATAAAATAAAGTATAACGGTAATAGCAGCACCGGGATTCCGTTAAAGTACTATATAAAGTATCTCACTTATTTCTCATTATCGGAATTTCGTCTTCATTTGAACTATGATACATGCATGCTTCTCTATGTAACCATAATATATACGTCTATTTAATTTTCTACATAACAAAACGCGTTTAAAATAACTCAGTGATGAGAACATAGTTTCTAAAGAGTATGCGCGAATTTATATAGAAAAGAAATGGAACACATATGAGAGGATAAATGACGGAGAGCTGCGTTCGGTAAATAAAAGTAACTTTTTTTTACATCGAAACGAAATGGCCTCGGTGCAAAGATAACGTCTCCGCGTAAAAAAATTACCTCGAAATGCAGATCAATTTAGTTGATTCGCAGGAAAAATGGAGGGACTCGAGTATGTCGCGCAATCACTGTGCGGCCTCGTGAAAAGTGATGCGGTGTCTCTTCGATCGAGAGAAACGCGAACGTTGTGTCACGCGCGGCTGCGTAAACGCACTCAAACGCACCGGACGCCGGTGGCGTTATTTCCCAGTTTGGAGTTTCGCATCGGGCTAACGCCTGAAATTAATAATACTAACACCGGGGGAAAAATAATTTTACCTCCGGCGAGGTGTGAATAATGCATGAGGCGTGACGCGAAATCCGCGTAGCGTTGCAGTTGCAATTGCAGCATATGCAGGAACGCGCGTACTTATATCGTACATATGCGCGGGATGCAATTGCAACGGCAGTAGCAGCAGCGCCCACCATTAGGGCGTAGAAGCTCCCTTGACCTGCTCCTTGAAAACGATCGCGTTCGCTAATAGCATTAGCGCAATGAAAATTTCATGCCCCCATGTGGCATAGTAATTCTCCCACCATTCGAGTCGTGTGGCTGGGGCATAATACGCGACACGAATGACACGGATTATCCATTGACACGGCTAATCTTCGGATATAACAGCCGACTTTTTAACTAAGTGCCACTCCAATCATAAACGATTTTATTTCGCGGGGGAGCGATATTTAGATGGTCGATTTGTCGGACGAAATAGACCTCTTATCGTGCAAACTGTGTGTACGACCCGGAATGAAGACGGACGAGAGGGTGGGTAGAGAGCGCTATTTGCAAAAATGATAACAAATGCCTACGCTACCGTGGTAGCACGATAAGAGTTCCGCTTTACACGACAAATGTAGCTGCTGGCGATGATATTTACATAAATATGACCGTTACACTGTATGTCAGTGGCAATCAGTTTATCCCGAAAAAAAAAACGATTTGAGTTTGTTGACAGAAATATGAATGGCTCGCTTCATTTTATACTTATCGATGGAACATAAATGTCTGCGTTAAAAAAAAGGAATAAACCATTTATATTAAGTTTGTAACTTAGAAAAAATGTGTATCTCTCTCTCTCTCTCTCTCTCTCTCTCTCTCTCTCTCTTTCTCTTATACACTTGATAATAGTACATTTTCTTTAATCAAGTTTTTCCACATTTTCTTTAATCAAGTTTTTCCACATTTTTAAACTTTAATTAAGAAAATATTTGTTTAATTATTGAAAATGTCCAGAGTTATATTAAGAGTACCCTACATCACTTTAGCGGTAAGAGTTGGCTACTTTCTTTTATTCTTTGTCGGTAAATTTACCTTGACAGTTAATTCCATTGTAGCGTCCTACCTGCAATACATTTTCACGATAACAGCCGACACTATTTTTACGGACTCTTCGCTCGAACCAGAAGATAAACTTATCAATGAGACAGGACAAAAAACACTGACACGATTACATTAAACGAGCACAAGAAGGACATAAAGAAGGACATCGTATCGTTTGAGATGGCGCGGTTAAGAATTATTTTCGCCGCAACTCCCCGTAATAATATTATTCTTTATATTACACGAGCACGTTCGTGTTCGGCGACCATCTCAAGATATCTGCGGATGATTAACATATATCATTCTGCGCTTAGGACACCGACGTGAGCCTGTAACCGCCTTGCGACTATCACGATGCCAGGAACGTGCTTGATGACCGATGCGGTCAGGACAGCGGATAGTTAGTGATGAGGAGGAGCAAGTTATCGGCGTGCCGACGGCCCAGGTCACCAGTAACATGCCAGTCCTTGGTCCCAGCGCCGATCCAACTTCACTTCGAGGACTTCTGATCGCCGTCTTCGTCCTATTGTCCCTGCCGCGTTGTCGCTGCACGGATCTAGGTAAGTGGAATCCAAACTCCCGCGAACGCGTCATATCCAAGTTTTATAACTTCCGAAAAGTACCGGCGCCTCTTTGGCCAACTTCCGTCACTCTCTTACAATCTTCTCTATTGTCCCAAGGCGCGCCGTCAAAAGGTCGCATCTACCAATTGAAAATCTTTTACGAGGCGGCCCGTGGAGACAATCACAAGTTTCCTAGGATAAAAATGCTTATAACTCTGGAACAAGAATATAATTCTCGCGTATCCATAATTCTGAATCACACGTAAAAATTAATTTATGAAAGCTGTCGACACTCGTTAGCATATTGCGTGTCTTTTCAATAAACTACTTTTGAAAGATATAAATAACGCCGAAAACGTACGGCAAAATTTAATTATTTAACAATTTTAGAGATGATAATTTTCTTGAAATATTATTTTAATATCAATTTAATTAAAATTATATCACATTTGCACATTGTTATTATGAATGTGCAATATTGTTTTAAACTGTCTAAAAAGGGAGTGAACTGTATAAAGAGATAGTAAGTGGATCAAACCCCATAATAAACTGGCTGCCGCCGGCAATAAATTTATGAGTTAATTACGGCATCATCAACTTTGATTATTGGAAGATTGCTCAATTATCTATCGTCCTCTCGTTCTACCGCTCTTGATTTAATATTACACGCGATCATATTATATTTTAGTGGAGATCTGTTCAAGTTTTTCCTCGCAAATAAAACGCTTTTTTCTTTTCATTGTGTTTTCTTTCGCTGAGGCAATATTGAGGACAGACACCGAAGCCCTTATAGATAATCGCACATTTACGCGAACTGCGGCGATAAAATTATCATTAAAAAAAGTTATGGGCAACATGGGTGATTGCGGGCGAAAATGAGAGGTTTTTTAGCTCGACAAAAATCTAGGAGAGAGGTCTATTTCAGTATATTTTTAAAATTATAAATATATAAATATATTATAACATATAATGATAAATATATTATTTTAAAAAATATTTAACAGTTAATCTTTGTTTATTACAACAATTATTTCGTAAAATTGCAAAGTTTTAATAAAAATTTAAAATACAAGAAAGCTGACAAAGAAAATCGTGGACAAGATGATTCCTTTGTTGTTGCACGAGCGGAACAGGCATGATATCCACCGGGGATGTCGTGCGTACTAATTTTTTTCTTCTTCTCCCGGTACTGAAGCGTGTACGCAATAATGCCGCACCGCCTACACACCTGGCCTCACCGAGGCATTGTACCCTCGTAAATGAAATGTCAGTCGCACAACGAATTAACAATACTATCTAATAGCTGCTCAGATGCAGACGAGCGGGAGCGAGATGTGCATTGTGCCGATTCGTTCTGGCGTGCCGCAGTTTCTGACTCCCGCCGCTCGTTGTTTACCGCTTATCCGCTATATTTTTATGCAAATTAATTGTATGTTGCCTGCAAGAGGATGTTGTGTTAAATGGAGATATCCGTAAAACGAGAATACGTTACAGTTCGCATTCATTCGTCCTGATATTAAATTTTTCTTGCTTTATTACGTTAGGAAATAAATCATTTAGGAAATAAAGGAAACTTGAAGTTACAACATACACATTTAATATGTGAAAAATATTTAAACATTTTGTTTTATAAAATAAAAAAGACTAACAAAGTAAAGGTGGTCGAAAGACAATAATCAAATAACAATATAAACACAGGCTTATTTTAAGGACCAACCAAATAAGAAATCAATTATAGGCAAGAAAAAATTGTATATAACATTAAGCAAATACAAAGATGTTAATAATCGTAACGTAAACAATTACTGATGTTAAAAAATGTAAATTTGAAAATTACAAAATAAAATAAAGACGCAAACGTTTTGATCCGCTTCGGATCATTTTCAATGCTTATAAATAAACGCTATAAAAGTATACAGAGAAATTTTGAAAATGTCATACCCAAGTTGCATACCCTAATTTTTCTGCGTTAACATCTTTTAAAAGAAAGCTTTTTTGTCTGCTATTATGATAGGAAATCTCTTGTTTTTGCGCTTATACCTTGCTGTCGTTTGACATTTTCAAAATTTCTCTGTATACATTTATAGCGTTTATTTATAAGCATTGAAAATGATGCGAAGCGGATCGAAACGTTTGCGTCTTTATTTTATTTTGTAATTTTCAAATTTAATTTTTTTAATATCAGTATTATTAACGTCTTTGTATTTGCTTAATGTTATATACAATTTTTTCTTGCCTATAATCGATTTCTTATTTGGTTGGTCCTTAAAATAAGCCTGTGTTTATATTGTTATTTTGTTTTATATTTTTGATTTTATATTTATCGATAGTTATTAAGTGTTATTACATTATATTTAGTTTCATGGTTTTTTTATACCTGATATCATATTGTTTCCTTAGCATCTGCTATATGTTAATTTTGATAATTGATTGAAATAATTGAATTGAAATAATTGATATTCTAAATCGAAAGAAATAACGTTATAAATATTATACACTGTCACTTGAACACTTTTAAGCTCTCAGCAAATTAAAACTGTCAATTACACATCACAAATCATTGAAATCGTTCACTATCCTGCATGTTGCGCGAAAACACATCGCGTCTAGGATATCCCAATATGTCAGCCTGACTTATTGCTTTGGGACATGACACTAAAGCTCGGGTTCATAGCCCGTTATCGTTGTGTACATTGGATATTCAATGCATACGATACGCCACGCGTTCTTGTACACAAAGTACAAAAACACTTAAGGATTAAAATACAGAGTGTGAATTGCGCTTTAAGTTAGGATATTACATAATAGAGATATTTATTTATTCTGGAAGAATCAAAGTGCATTAGCATAAGATAAAAATTATCATTTCATTTACAGATATATTTAAAAATTTTCCTTACTCATTTATGTTTTTCCCTTTTATCTCTTTATCGAAGAGATACAATGCAATATTTAAACGAATATTTTGTTCGTTGGATAATATTCGGGTGCGAAACATCTGATGCAGCGGTGTGGCTCGCTCCAAATCCAGGTTAGTTCGATAATTACGACACAGTTCATCTCATTCGCACTACGTTGCATTAACGGATGCAACATAAAGGCGAATACTAGCTGCAAATACGATCGAAGTTACTCAGTCTGAATGGAGAGATATTCCAATGGTTATTAGATAATAATTTTGTATACATGTAGCGATTTTCTCGGCTTCATTTTCAATTTATTAGAACATTTGATTTTTATTTCACGCGTGTTTTTCAATTACTATTGTCTCTGTTTGTATAAGCTTACTAATTAATAACTGTACTGATATTGGGATATTAATGATAATTGTATGCACTATGTATATATAATAATTTTTATAATTATTAAATATAATAATTCACGTCACTGAATCAAATAAAAGACTGTATAAAGAAAATGTAATAAAGTCTAATATGTAATAAGGGAATAGCGCGCATTTTTTATGAAAAAAAATGCAAAGAATCCAGTTTGCAGCGCACTAGAAAAGTCATAAAAATTTAATAAAATAGCAAACACGAAGAGAAAATAAGAAGTTATGTTAAATGGACTTCATTAAATGAATTCTACGCCATTACCAACCATTCTGCGATATACTAACTATTCTCAATGAAAAAAACCTGACACAATCTGCGAAATGTAGTTTTCCAATATTTATCTTAATCACCGGCAGCCATTTTATTGTATATGCAAAGTAATAAGTTGTCGCATTTGCTCTCGTTCATGATCGACAATGAAATAAATTTAAATCTTCTGTAATTCTCTTTCAAATGTGAGCATCGCAAGTTTTATGAAATACAAATATAATTATTTACTTGATATCCGCTTTATCAGATTACTCAGTTTTATGATAGATTGCTTTTTTTGTATGTATTTATCAATGTTAATTTATCAATTATTGATACATTTATATTTTATGAAGAGATTTCAGATTTAAAAAATTATGACTATTCAATACTGGGAATTTACGGGATTGCGATATATATGTTGTATAAAATTATAGAAAATTCATAAATGGAAAAACGCAGTAATCCCGCAATTTGACATCTTTTTAGACACATCGAACGCAGATTTTAGTCACGCTACCGCGGTATACCGGATGAAGTTTTGCCATATAATGCACGGTGGGTGAAACGTAGGGGACAGTTACAAACACAAACGAAGTTTTGTTCGCGGTAATACCGGCTCATGGAGACCATAGCCGACCGGTAGTAGCTCCGGAGGCTAGGCTAATCCCACGTCCGCTGCATTCTGCAGTTTTGAAACTTTCCGCTGTAACTGCAGTACCGTAGTTTAAGCATAGTAACGTTGTACGCGCCGCGCACCAAGATATGTATTGGCTGGACTAGCTCCTGCGAATTGGAGGATTTATCGCATCTCGCATATATATGGCGACTGATTGTCATCGGTGATTGCTGGTCAATATTCCTACTATTGATTTTTCTCGACGACATTGCGGAATGACTTTATATATACAACGGCGAAAAAAAAAACGATATCAGAAAGTGTCGTTTTATTATTTTATTTTTCGATATTTTCTTTATTTATAGATATATATTGAAACAGAAATAAAAAGTACATAAATGAGAGAGAGAGAGAGAGGAAGAAAGAAAGGAAAACCTCTGTATACTTTGAATCAAAATGCCACTAAGATGTTTAGAGAAATTTTATTTTTACGTGCTTTTATCGATATTTGTTTTGTAGCAACACAAAGAAGAAAATGCGATAGCATCGAATTTATTATATTAATTAAGAGATGCTTCACATTGGTTCCATCGATATCTTAAATATAATCAAAATAGCGATAACTCATAAAAAAGTTTAAAAAGGAGATACTTGATAGAATTTTAAATTATTTTTTACGTGTAGCCAGTAGACAATATCAAATTACTTCTACCCAGAAAACGAAATTTATATATTTGTAATAGCCAATATTTTTGAGAATTTTATTGGAAAATTTCTACAATAATATCATTAGACAGACAAAAATATGTCAGAATAAAACTGTCGTGAATCTGATTGCAATAAAAATATATAGAAATGTAAATATGTGAGATTAATTGTTTACGAATTCGGTGAATCTTTGTCGAAATAATTATTCCATAATTATTACCATTATCCATTCGAAATTTTCGTTCTAATGCGCGACATTAACGAAATGAAGATTGATATTGAATTTTGTCTAGTGTAATCATGAATTGTTTTCAGGACAATGTACTACGGCTTTGGGTATGGAGAACGGAGAAATCCCCGATGAAGACATCTCAGCGAGTTCTATATACGATCCTAGTCTCGGACCGAAACATGCCAGGTAGGAGAACAATCGTATCGCAAGACTGGCATCAAGCGAGTCGACCATTTTGGTATCTCAGCGAAACGAATATTCCCAGAATATACGCTTTCGCAAACGTTTATAGTTCCGATGTTATTTAGCGCAATAGCACAGATCGTGCTTTTTTTTAAATCACATTTATCTTCTCGCTTGAAAGCTTGTATATTTCACATTTTTTCCAACAACTTAAATTTTGTTATATAAATCTAAAATTTTGTGCATTTATAATCCTTATATCAATCTATATAAGTGACACTAAATTGCTACTTGTTTATTTACATGTGTATTTTTCCTTATTGCTATTACCAAAAATAATATCGGGGAATGTATATATTTAACCCATCTAAAAATATAAGATACATATCGGAATTTGTGCGAATAATCTATCGTAATCTCATTAAGATTTAATTAATTCTAAAAATGCAGTTAGAAAAAAAATGCCTTAAGATAGATTTGGATATAAAATAATATAATACGTGGGGCGCACACACATGTATATCACATCGCTTTTCACATTGTGTTAGAATTAAATTATGTAATTGCCATCTGCATCACATTGTAGTATCGGAATTCTTTTAACCTCGTAATGTAAATCGCGTGACATGAAGAAATGTCCCGCAATAGCATTAGGGAACCTGTGCTACCTGTAGTTCACTTATTCCTTATTACAACGCCGAGATTAAAATCACTCGCTAGTAAGGCGTTTGCGCTCCGCGCCTCTCTTAGATGTATTAAAATTTTAAATAACACGCGGCCTCGAAAGCACGGTTGTAAAAGTCTCTCTTATCGGAAAATGAATTAATGACGATTATGAAAGGATATAGAGGAGAATGAAAATTTTCTTAAACATGTACTCGCACGGTCAATGGCAAATTAATTTTTCGAGAAACAATTTTTTTAAATCATATTTGTTTATTTATTAATAATTATGATTTTACAGCAATTATAAAATCTCTTTTTTTATAATATAGTATAATATAGTTGTATAATATAGTAAAACGAACGTGACGATTATAAATAGTTTGATGCAAAATACGCGCTATAAATATAAAATTAACACGTATATAATAATCTCTGTTTAGAATTAATAATGATACTAAAAAAATTAAGATTGATCGCCTTCATGAAATTGGTAGATTATCATCCGCGATTAGTGGATATATATTATCTTCACACTTTCATCATTAATAACGGGTTTCCTATCTACGTAGACCGCAGAAGCGAGCTGTGTGGATCGATCTCGTCAACGATATACGACAATTTACGGTTAGGCTCTTTGCGCCCACCAAAAACCGTGAAGCGATCTCCGATAATAACCGCTTTCGTATTTTGATACTCTCGTTAGGATGTCAGCCAACAACGTTAATGATATATATGTGTACACACACACACACACACACACACACACATATATATATGTATATTTTATATGTATGTACTTTTTGAAAAATCATCGCGGTGAGATCGTAGGTCGCGTGTTCAGCAATTAAAAAATTTTAATTAAATCATCGTACGCGACCGATCAGCCGTGACATTTTAATTAACTATCTACTTCGTAAATCAAAAAGCAGTCTACACGGCTGCATATTTCGAGGTAGACAACTCTCGTTGGAGAGTTACGTTCTTCGAGCAAGTCGTTACCGGAGAGTTTCGGGATACACGGCCACACACAAGTCCGGTACGATGTAATAGGGGATAGGATAGTAGCGACCGAAAGAAGGTCGGCGGCGAAGGTAGAAGGGGCTGCGCTCGACCCCTACAAATTACCTCCAATTTCGTGTAAATTCCTCGTGCCTGCGTCAGCATAATACCTGTATTAGAACGCCTGGCTCCGGCTCTTAGGTGGCAATAAATCTGTATTAGAGCAAGGCGTCGCACCCTCTCGCAAAAGGGGTACGACAACCCAGAACCGGTTAATTTTTCAGGGCCGCGATTCGTCCGCCATGATGTCTACAAGGTTACTACACGTCTCGATACTCAGCAAATATCTCTCTTTATTTTCTCTTTTTATCTGCAAAATTATCTCGTTTATACTCTTCTTTTTATTACTCTTTTATTATTCTTTTATCTATTTCTTGCATTTATAATGCATAAATTACTGATTTTATAGCGGGAATGAATTTAGATGAAATCATATCTGTAGGATGTCTACGTTTTGGAAAAACCTAGAAAATTCTCAAAAGTTTCTTTTTTACTTTGAAAATTTACGAAATAATCGTGGAATTTTCTTGGGACTCGGGGAATTTTCTTATAAATTATTTTTCTTCGATAATTTTAAATATCGAAAAATCGGAGAATTCTCAGGAAATATTTTTACAAGATTTCACTAGACACCTTGTATATACACAATTATATATAAAAGTTTATGTCATTGAAGTATAAGTCTTTTATTACATCATCTAATGTTATATATTGCTCGAAATTTCACGTAGTGATATAAAAATGTTTAAGGTTGAAGAAAGATTCTAATACAATTAAAGAGAATTGATCGTGAGAAAGCGGCGAACGCCGTGAAACGTATTCGCTCTAAAATGAAATTGTATAATTGTAGGTTCTCGGTTTCTCGTGGGTAATCGCTTTGGAAGTTCTCATTACGATAAAATCTTTCCGATGTCACGAAGCGTGTTGGAGCAAAGACACTCGCTTGATATTCGACGAGTATCTAGCTTCGAATCTGGTTTCCACTACTGGTATAGTTGAATAGTTTACCGACGTTTATCGCGATACACGTGTTATCGCGCCGGGATCCGCGATAACGCGGGATATATCGCATATGTGTGTGCGTATGATTATAATTATAGATGAAAGATAGATTTCCATATGACGAGGTCGGGGAGGACCGGTCCTAGAGGGACAAAGGGACACGAGTAAGATATTGCTCCGCCGTATGCCGAGTATCTACTTCGCGGAATATGACACAGCGTTGCACACATAGCGTTAAAGCACTACATTTCAAAGTACATGTCCTCGGTTTTCCGCCGTAACGAAATTGCATCGTACATTTTGTTAGAGACGGCCGCGACAAGGCAGCGCTGCGACATTTTAAGGTCATTGTTATCCATTCCGCCAGGTGGTTAAGTAGGATATACATAATAAATAGCGAAAACGTAATTTCCGCACGTATCCACGTAATATTTTTAACGAGCCAATTAGTTTCATACGACGTTTCGTTCCTTTGTGCAATACGCTTTGTTAAATAACACATAAAACATCTGGAGCTTATATTTTACAGCTAATTCTCAGTTTACGTTAAGCTGCAGGGCTGAAGCTTATTACAGTTAAAAAAAAAACACGTTCTTTTTAGTTTTTAATATACTCTGTCACGTAGTTGTAATTAGTGTGCGCGGCAACATCGACGTAAATAACGATGCGAGGGCAAACAATAGGGGAGTAGACAGTGGACAAAAATACAAAAGGACCAAGTAGAAGTCGGGACGATGCGAGAAAGCGTGTCCACGCACAAAGAGACACGATCGATAAGGGCCCGGGCAGAAAAGTGGACGGGCATGCTAGTACGTGCAACGAAAAAAGTTTTTCGTTTTCGTGTATGTGGCGCTGGAGCCATTCGTATCGCTTTAGAGTTGGCACGAAAAGGAGACGTCCGAGGTGGTAGCTCGATGTAAGAGGCAGGGGAAAATGTGGAACGAAATAGACGATGGGAGAGAGAAAGAGAGAAAGAGAGAGAGAACGAAAAAGGGAGAGAATACGAGGGCCCAGGCGTGACAAGCCGAAATCTTCGATGTGCGAAAAAGTGGTATGAGAGAAGATCTATTAAGGGATCGCGGGCAAGGGGTGGGTCCTAGAATCACGCGGACATAAACTGTCCTACGCCGTTACGTGTGCTTTCAGCAGCCGAAGCCGAGGAAAAATGGTAGCCATATTCTTCCAGCCTTCGAGTCTGGCTATCTTCCACTTTGTTACGATTCGAAAACTTCGGTGCCTTCGGTAGCTCTCCCTCGTTTCGGTGATTTATGTAACGCCTCCTCCTCCGATACCTTCCTCGTTTTTTCTCGCGCTTGTATCGCTCGAGCAACTGTGCCGCTATCATCGTCGTCGTCGTCGTCGTCTGATGGAACAGGCACTCGAGAGATGCGGCGTATCGCATCACCGAAATGCGCCGCGCATTTCGTAGCTTAAGCCTCGTTCGCGTGACGATGTACTTTCGTATAAATCTCGGGAAGGTTTGGAGGGAGTTCAGAGGGTGCGCGGGATCGTGCAACACCCTGAACAGAGCCCGGCACCGTTTCACCGGCGCTGATATCCAGTTCCGGTCGTCCGTTCTTCTGGGACCTGGGCCAAGAACGGGCGGAATTCTTTTGATAAACGAAACGTGCATTCCACGCGACACCCTATATTTACGTGCAACATGCGCAAAACAGACTCTCTGGCGCGGAGATGCATGTCCCGGATGCATCTTGAGGGACAGTTCAAAAGTCGAGGTGATCGTAAGCGTGTTTAAAGGGGAAGTTATATAGAAAACAGATGTTTACAACAGACTTTTACAAAGTTTTATGAATACATTAATATGACAATAATGTTCTTTTTCAAGTTAACGTGCACATTAAAAGCTGCATCTTTATTTGTATAGTAAAATGAGATAATTAATAATTTATTGTTATTTCTCACTTTATTTATAGATTGTATTTTTTGTCTTTTGAAACGAAACGTTTATTATTAATGTTTTATTTCTCAGTTTCCGAATATCTCGAATTTCATTTCTTATATCGAAAAGTCTCTTTCTCTTCTCGCATCACCTCCGTTAGCGAATCGTTTCATGTAACGTTCGTTCTTAATTACAAGGATTCTTCTCGTATAGGAAAACTCGATTTTTACAACAAATGGAAGAGTAAGAAAAAGGAGAGACAAAATATCATCGTGGTAAATGTGATAAGGGCTTTTCGTGATGAAATTTTACCCTCGTTACATTAACATAGTCGTTAAGATACAACTGGGTCACCAGGAAATTATGTCTTATTAAT